GCACCGACGCACCGCTTCTCCAGCCATGCTGAGGCCGCGTCCCACATACAGCAACTAGAAGGATGTGCAGCTATGACATACAGCTATGTACTGGGGCTTTGGGAAATAAAATAAATAAATAAAAATCTTAAAAAAAAAAAAAGAAAACTACAGAACACGTTATTCATGAACATAAACACAAAAATCCTTAACAAATATTAGCAAATTGAATCCAGCAACATATACAAAGGATAATCACCAAAACTAAGGGGGGTTTATCCCAGGAATCCAACATTGGTTTAATATTTGAAAATCAATCAATGCAATTTACTATATAAACAGAATAAAAGAGAAAACCATATGATCATATCAATGTGGAGGAAGTATTTGGCAAAATTCAACGGACATTCATGATAAAAATTCTCAGCAAAGCAGGAAGAGAAGGGAACTGAATCTGATAAGAGGCAGCTATGAAAAGCCCACAGCTGACATCACACTTATTGATGAAAGACAGAAAGCTTTCCCCCTAAGGTGGGGAACAAGACAAAGATGTCTGGTCTCGCCACTCCTATTCAACACTGAACTAGATGTCCTAGCCACTGCACCAAGCAAGGAAAAAGAAAAGATGACATGGATTGCAAAGGAGAAAACAAAACTGTCTTCATTTGCAGATAACATGACCGGTACGTAGGAAATCCTAAGGACTTGGTAAGATAGCTATTGGAAGTGCTGAGTGAGTTTAGGAAGGTTGCAGGATTCAATGTCATTATATAAAAATCAATTGTATTACTATATACTAGTAATGAACAATTTAAAACTGAATTAAGAAAACAATATCATTTATAATAACACCCAAAACTATGGAATACTTAGGGATATATCTAACGAAATATAAGACCTATACACTGAAAACTACATGTCACTGCTGAGAGAAAGTCAAGAAAACCTAAAGAAACAGAAGGATATACCTTGATCATGGATTGGACGACTCATTTTTAAGATGCCAGTTTATCATCTTATTTCAATTTGGGTGATTCAGTGCAATCCCAATTCAAATCCCAGCAGGTTTTTCCGTAGACATTCACAAGCTGATTCTAAAATTTATATGGCAATGCAAAGAACGTAGGACAGCCAAACAAATTTTGAAAAAGAATAAAGTTGGACGACTTACACGACTTGATTTCAAGACTTACATTCCAGATACACTAATCAGGACATATAGGATTAGCATATAGATCAATGGAACAGAATAGAGAGCCCAGGAATAGACTTACACACATATGGACAATTGATTTTTCAACAAAGGTGACAAGATAATTCAGTGGGAAAAATAACCATCTTTTCAACAAATGGTGTCGAAACTGGATGTCTATATGGAAAAAAATGAACTTCGACCCTTACCCAACATAAAACACAGAAATTAAATTGAAATAAATCATAGATCTAAAAGATAAACTTCTTCCAGAATATCTTTGTGACCTTGGGATAGGCAAAGATTTCCTAGATAGGATGCAAAAAGCATGAACTGCGCAAGAAAAAAATTGATAAATTGGACTTCATCACAATTAAAGACTTAGAAAGATACTGTTAAGAAAATGAAAAGGAAATTCATAGACTAGGAGAAATTATTCACAAAACATATATCTGACAAAGGACTTGTATCCAAAATAAATAAAGAATTCTTAAAAATCAATAATAAGACAAATAATTTAAAAATTGGGGAAGAACAAAGCTGGAGGCATCACACTTCCTGATTTCAAAATATATTACAAAGCTATAGTAATCAAAACAGTATGGTATTGGCATAAAAGCAGACACATAGATCAATGGAACAGAATAGAGAGCCCAGAAATAAAGCCACGCATATATGGTCAATTAATTTACAATAAAAGAGCCAAGAATATACAATGGGGAAATGACAGTCTTTTCAATAAACAGTGTTGGGAAAACTAGACAGCCACATGCGAAAGAATGAAACTGGACCACTATCTTACACCATACACAAAAATGAACTCAGAATGGATTAAAGACTTGAACTTAAAACCTGAAACCATAAAACTCCTAGAAGAAAACATACCCAGTAAGCTCCTTGACGTAGGTCTTGGCAATGATTTTTTGAATCTGACACCAAAAGCAAAAGCAACAAAAGCAAAAATAAAGAAGTGGGACATCAAACTAAAAAGCTTCTGCACAGCAAAGGAAGTCATCGACAAAAAGAAAGCGCGACCCACTGAATGGGAGAAAATAGTAGCAAATCATGTCTCTGATAAGGGGCTAATATCCAAAATATATAAAGAACATACAACTCAATAGCAAAAAACAAACAATCCAATTAAAAAAATGGGCAGAAGATCTGAATAGACATTTTCCCAAAGAAGACATATAGACGGCCAACAGGTAAATGAAAAGGTGCTCAACCCCACTAATCATCAGGGAAATACAATCAAAACCACAGTGAGAGATCACCTCACACCTGCTAGAATGGCTATTATCAAGAACTTAACAAGTGTTGGTGAGGATGGCGAGAAAAGGGAACCCTTGTGCACTGTTGGTGAATGTAAATCGGTGCAGCCACTATGGAAAACAGTATGGAGGCTCCTCAAAAAATTAAAAGTAGAACTACCATAGGATCCAGCAATTCTACTTCTGGGTATTTATCTGAAAGAAATGAAGACACTAACTTGAAAAGATGTCTGCACCCCCATGTTCATTGCAGCATTATTTACAATAGTCAAGATATAGAAACAACCTAAGTGGCCATCGATGGATGAATGGATAAAGAAAATGTGGTGTATATATATATATACACACACACACAATGGAATGTTACTCAGCCATAAAAAAGTATGAAATCTCGCCATTTGAGACAACATAGATGGACCCTGAGTGCATTATCCTATGTGAAATAAGTCAGACAGAGAAAGACAAATACAGTATGATCTCTCTTATATGTGGAACATATATAACAACAATAAAAACCAGCTTGTAGATACAGAGAACAAATTGGTGATTGCCAGAGGTGGTGGGTGGGGGATGGGAGAAATGGGTGAGGGGGTCAAAAGATAAAAAGAATAAGTAAGTAAGTAAATAAAGAGAGGATCTATACAGGTTACTTGGAGAAATGTCAGTAATCAGAAAAGCAAATTGCAGGCTAATGTGTAAATCTGGGGGAAAAAAAGAATAAAGAACATTTCCCATAAAAAAAAGAACCTGGTGGCTCTTCTCAAAAAATTTTTTAAATTAAATTTTTTAAAAATTGGGGAGTGGCTGGTCCGGTGGTGTAGTGGTTAAGTTTGCGCATTCCGCTTCGGCAGCCTGGGGTTCGCAGGTTCGGATCCTGGGAGCGTACCTACACACTGCTCATCAAGCCATGTTGTGGCGGCGTCCCACATACAAAAATAGAGGAAGATTGGCACGATATTAGCTCAGGGCCAATCTCCCTCACCAAAACAACAACAACAAAAAATTGGGGAAAAGATTTAACATACATTTAACAAGGGAAGATATATGAATGTGCAGTAAGTGTATAAAAAGATGCTCAAAATCATTAGTCTTCAAGGAATTGCAACTTAGAGCCACAATGAGATATCAATACACAACCATTATAATGAATGACATTAAAAAGACAGACAAGGGTGTTGGCAAAGCTGTGGAACAACCGGAACTCTCCTCCACTGCTGGTGGGAATGTAAGATGGTACAACCACTTTGGAAAACAGTTTGACAGTCTCTTAGAAAGTTAAACATACCACTTATCATACAACCCAGAAAGTCCACTTTTAGGTATTTACTGGGTGGAAAGAAACTGTATGTCCACAAAAAGATTTTATATGAGTGTTCATAGCAGATTTATTCATAATAGCCCAAACTGGAAACAACTCAAAATTCCATCAACAGGTAAATGAAAAACAAATCATGGTACATCCATATATGGAATTCTACTCAGCAGTAAAGAGGAGCGAACTATTGAAACAGGAAACAACACGGATGATTCTCAAGGCACCTCCTGAGCAAAAGAAGCCAGACCACAGCACGGACTATAGGATTCCATTTATATGGAACTTCAGAAAAGACAGACGTAGTCTACAGTCACAGAAAGCAGATCAGTGATTTCCTGAGGTCAGAGTGGGGAAGACTGATGGGGAAGGGGCACGAAGAAGCCTTCCGGGAAGGTAGAATGTTTTACATCTTGATTGGGGCAGTGGTACATGAGTATACACACTGGCCAAAACCCATCCAGTTGTGTCCTTAAAACGGATGTTTTAGTGTATGTAGTTGTATCTACTTCAATCAAATTGATTTTTAAAAAGTCTTGGGATGATATACAAAAGACTGGTAGACTGTGGGTTGTGTGTTGTGTGTGTGTGTGTCTGTGTGTCCAGGATTGATGGTTGTGAGCAAGGGAGACTTTAGCTTTCCTTGAAATGTTCTGAAGTTTCAAAAGCAAAAAGGAATTTGTGTATTACACAAAATTAATTAAACAACACGCCTTGGTGATCTTTCCATGTCAGTTTATAGTAAAATACCTCATTCCTTATGTAACTTCAGCTGACTATTCCTTTGTGTAGCTCTATATGGCTTTTTATTTTTATTTATTTTATTTTTTTGTGAGGAAGATTTGTCCTGAGCTAACATCCGATGCAAATCTTCCCCTTTTTGCTGAGGAAGATTGGCCCTGGGCTAACATCTATGCTCATCTTCCTCTACTTTATATGGGACGCTGCCACAGCATGGCTTGACAAGTGGTGCGTCTGTCCATGCCCAGGATCTGAACCTGCAAACCCCGGGCCACCAACATTGATTGTGTGAACTTCACCACTATGCCACTGGGCCAGTCCCACTACATGGCTTTTTAAGTAGTCCCCTATTGATGGACATCTAGGTTATTTTTATTCTTCTGAAGCACGTTGCAGTGCCGGCCTCTGCACATCTCCCTGTATGTTCCAATGGGAACCACCAGTTTTTCGAGTCATGAAGACCTATAATGAAATCCCAGCTCTGCCATTTACAACCTGGGGCCAGTCACAGAACCCCTCCCAAGCTCACTTTCTGCCTATATGGAATGGGCAGCTGGAGGACTAAATGAACACTGCTTATTTAAGACACCTGACATAAAGTATGTGTGTAATACATTACTTCCCTTCCCCCTCCCTAGAGGACAATGAGATGGCTTGTGGATGAGTATTTTTCTCGAACATTTTTGGACCTTAGTTGTCCAATTAACAAATATTGGGAGGCGGGGGGAGAGCGAACCAGGATAACTGTACTGGAGAGGCTGTTTCCCAGAAGCACCATCTAGTACCTGGGCCTGGTGTTGCAGGTGAAAGGTCACGGCCGTGTTTACCTCCCCAGTTTCATCCCATACCTCAGAGGATATGATGGCTGATCCCACCTGGGTGCTTAGGAACCTGTGGGGAGAAGGGGAGCTTTTAAGGGCACCAGCTGGCTGTGGGGGAGAGGTCATGCATGGCTGGGGTCATCTCATCCAGGCCTCTGTGGAGGAGATGACACCCTCTGTGTCCAAAAAAACATCAGGAAAAGTCCTGTGCTGGGAATTAGGATACCTGGATTTCAGTCTTACCCTGGAACTTGCTGGCAATTTGCATATGCCCAGTTCCCTCCCTGAGTGTCAAAACTGAAGCCAGGACCCCAGACAGGAGTTGAGCCATGTCCCCACCAGCATACCTTTGGCAGACCCAGAAATGTGTGCGTGTCAGGGGTGAGGGGCCCTGGGCTGCTAAGGGCAGATTTGCCACCAGAATGGGGGCTCTGGGAGGGGATGGAGGCCTGTCCTTCCCTGGGGAGGGGATGCAGGCCCTCAGCAGCCTACTGGGTGGGACCTACTCACCTCTGCATCCTGCTTGCCTCTTCTGAGCCGTCATGGGGCTGGGGCTCTAGGCCAGGCCCCCCCAGGGTGTGCTGGAAGACACTGGAGCTGAACCAGCTATGGATCACGGTGACTCCAGAGAGGCCTGGCTGAGTAGGAGGGGGCCCAAGACCCCACCCGGTGACTGACCAAGCACCACAGGTTGGCCCTGAGGGAAATGCTCTGCCCACCTTACAGAGAGGGAAACTGAGGTTCACAGAGGTTAAGTGACTTCCGGAAGATCACATGGTTCATAAGAGGCAGAGCCAAAATTCCAACCAGCCATAGTTCACGTGCTTAACCTGGCAGCTCCAAAGCCCTCTGTCTCTTGTCCTAATCCTCCCCTCCTGGGTGGCACCAAGAGGAAATGTGTGTGATTCCACGGAAGAGACTGAGTGGACACCTACTACATGGCGGGTGCTTTTCACCACATAACGACCCAGGAGGGAAGTACTAATGTGACAATTACAGATGAAGAAACAGGCTCTGAAAGATAAGGTGACTTATTCAGAGTAGCAGAGCCAGCACCTCTGAGAGTGACATTTGACCCAGTCCCCCACAGGGCCCCCCACCCCCTCACCCACCTTTTCCTAGGAGCCGCCTCACTTCACCCGCAGGGATGTGGATGTGGCCGGGCCCGTCTGGACGCCCACCGGGCATCGTGAACACGAAGCCCTCTGAGCTGGCCCCCCTCAAGCGTAGGCTCCGCACCTCCAGGCCTGGGATCAGATGGGGCTCATGGTTGGACCTCAGGAGGGGGTCTTTCTGCTGAGCTGGCCCAGCTGGCATGGTCTGCTTCTCTGTCTCCCTACATAGGTCTAGGCGGCCACTATTCCTGCTCAGAGAGGTTCAACAACTTGCCCAAGTAAATCTGACTTCTCCAAGTCCAGGGGGAGGGGTCACTGAGAAGGGGGGCCACCGGGGAGCAGGACCTGAATATCAGTGAGCCACCACCTGGGTGCCTGCAAGACACAAGTTTTGCCTGAAGTCCCAACGTAAGTGCTCCCCCATTCAATCTACACTCACTCACTGAGTGTGTACTTGGGTCCAGCCCCGAGATGCAGAAGTGACTCAGAAACAGCCCTGGCACTCAGGGAGCTTAGGTGGAATGATGCAATTACCACAAATGCAACAAGAGATATGTTCAAGACACTGGGGTAACAGAGGAGGGAGGAACCGACTGTCAGGAGGGAGCTAAAACCGGGAAAGCCTTCCTCGAGGAGTGATGCTCAAGTAGGGTTCTGAAGGATATATAGGAGTTTGCTGGGAGGTCAAGGGAGAAAGGGCAATCTGGATGGAGGGCACAGCATGGGCAGAGGCAGGAAACAGAATGGGGTATCCGTGGGAGTGCAGAGAGAGCTCCCAGTGACCAGAGCTGAGAAGAGATGTCAGCACAGACCCCACCCAGAGCCCCGCTGTGCAGGACGGGTGGCTGCAGGCTCACCGGCATGGCGGTGCTGGATGTGCATCTGGGGCCGCTCAGAGGTCAGCATGGCGCTCAGCAGAGGAGCCAGGCGCTGCACACTCACCACCAGGGCCATGGGTCCACCAACCACCTGGGAGGAAGCCGCATCTCAGCTCCTTCTCACACTCTTTGCCTAGGCAAGGCAGGGGTGACAATCCCCATTCTCCAGGGAAGAAAGCTGAGGTTCAGAGTCCAGCTTTTCCCCGTCTACCACGGTGCCACAGATCCCCACTCAAATGTGGGCTTACACCCTTCCCAGGACGGGGAGCTCACCACCTGAACAGCTGAACCATTCCACGGAACCAGCCTCCTGGGTTGTGTCATCCCCACCCCATCCTCAAGCCCAGGTCCCACTTCTGTCCTCTGAGGCCACAGGGGGACCATGTCTGCTCCTTCAGCCCCAGAGATTTGCAGGCAACGTCCATGACCCCTTGTTCTCTCCCTTCTCCGGGCTGATCACTCCCATGACTAGAGCCACTTCTGCCAGGCCCTTGCCCACACTCTCACCATCTGGACAGCATCTCTCATGTTCTCCAGAGTGTCTGGGCTGTTTTGGCAGACAAGACACTGGAAGACTCAGCACAGAGGACCTCCCACTTAAAGTGGTCAGCTGATTCTTGGATACAGGGGAAGCCTTTATTGATTAGTGGCTCTTAATAATTTTTACCTGCAGAAGCACGTTGTTCAAGAGCAGTTGTTTATGGAAGTTCAATTTATATAACAGACAAAAAAGGAGCTTCTCCTGATGGAAGGGGAGGGGAACCCCAGCAATGATGGGTCCTGACACAATAAGCTGGTGGCCCCTGCCCCCCCAGCCCTGCCAGCCTCACCTCGCTGACAGCCAGCCACGCCCTTGCCAGCTGCTCCTCCAGGACCAGGCTGGCCACAGACATGACGCCTCGTCCCAGCTGCTCCCAGGGCCCCGTCAAAGGCTCAGGCTCCCCAGCCCCAAGGGCCGTCACCCTCTTCAGAAAGTGCACAACTGCCAGCAGGGCAGCCGGCCCCGGCGGAGCCGCCTCCTCTACCAGGACTCTCTCCACGATACCCAGGAAGCTGGAGGCCTCGGCTGGGGACAGTTCTCCGTGGGCTTCAGAGAGGGGGTCAGCGAGGAGCTGTGGGCAGAGGAGCTGCTGACTGCTGGTCTGGCTGTCACGAGGGGATCCCCCCAGGGGCCATACTTGGGCTCCGCCAAGGTCTTCTTAGTGGGCGCGGGTCTAACTTGTCACAAGCCCCCAGCTCTCAATGGCTCCAAAATTCATGCAGACACATTAGGTGAGTGTCCCCTTACAGGTGAGGAAACTCAGGTACAGGAAGGTGACCCACGGTGCCCCCAGACTCTCCAGCCCCCTGGGAGGGGCCTCACCACGATGGCCTTGGCCAAGGCATTGACTCGGCCGATAACATCCTGGCCAGGCCAGGACCGGGTGTCCTGCAGCCCCCGATAGGTCTCTGCAAAGGAAGAGATGCCAGGCTGGTCCTGGGCAACCCTCTGCCCAGAGGTGCCCCACCCACCGTGTGCTGCCCAGTGGAGAGCACATTGATGGCTGTGTGTCTGGAGCCTTACACACGGTGTTTTGATGGGGAAACTGAGGCACAGAATGGCAAAATCACTTGCCCAAGGTGACACAGCTGGGATTCACCCCCAGGTCTGTCTGGCTCCACTGTCCTGTGGTCTAGACTCCGCAGAGGCCCTGAGGCTCCGAGAAGATTCTGAATTCCCAGGCTACGCCAGCTGCTCCTCCTCCTCTGCCTACACTGGTCCATACCCGGCTTCCCCTTCAGCACAGCCCCGGGGGCACAGCCAGGGCACACCTGTCCGGTAGCAGCAGAGGAAGGGCCGTGGCTGCAGGCAGAGCAAAGAGCCCTCGGTGCGGGGTCCTGGGTCCCACGTAGGGCACTCCTCTGAAGGCACTGATGGGGGTGGGAGAGGCGTCAGGGCCGCACCCCGGCTCCCCAGCGGTCCCCGTGACCCACCGCCCGTTCGGGCCTTAAAGGCACCTTCACACCTGAGGGGGCGCCAGGACGCACGGCCCTCGAGTTGGGGGCGACGTGTTAACCTAGCAGAGGGGCGCTGCAGCCAGCACCGGGCAGAGCAATGCAGCCAGAGGTCGAGCCCACTCTACTGGGACTGGGCGGACGCCCGAAGCACGCGTGGCCTGGAGAGGGCGTGGCCAGATCTGGGCGGGGCCAAAGTGGCAAAGGGTGGGCTGGCTCCGGAGGTCAGATGTGAGCTTACGGGAGCCAAGGGGCGGGGAGTTGAGCCAAGCCACGGGGCGGGGTCTGGCAGCCAGGGGCGGGGCGTTGAGCCAAAGGGGCGGGGCCGGTCAGCCAGTGGGCGGGGCGGGCCGTACCCGGACAGCGAAGGCGCACCCGCACGGGCGGCAGCAGCGAGGGCGTGATGTCCAGGGCGCTCGGGTCCCAGCGGAAGAGCAGGCCGCCGGGGGGCGGCGCGCAGGCCCGTGCGCGGTGCAGCTGCGCGGGGCTCAGCGCCCGGGCCCACAGGTGGAAGTCGGTGAGGTTGCCGCTGAAGGCGTCACGCGCCGAGAATCCGCCGCCCAGAGAGTCCTGATCCTGGCCCAGCACGAGGATGCCGCCAGGTGGCACCGGGTGGCCCGCGCTCAGTCCCCGCGCCCCGGCGCGCCGCTGCCCGTCGGCGAACAGCGCCCAGCGCCCCCCGCGCTGCTCCCACGTGGCGCACACGTGGTGCCAGCGGCCGTCGGCGGGGAAGGCGGCGAGGAAGGGCGCGTGGTGACCGCGCACCACGAGCGCCGCGTGCACGGCGCCGCCCGGCTCGGCGAAGGCGCGCAGCTGCAGCGCGTTGGCCAGCGCGGGCACGGCGAGGGAGAAGAGCGCGGCCGTGTCGGGCGAAGCGGCGTCGCACTGCACGTGCGCGCACGCCGTCAGCGCCCCCAGCGCCGGCAGGGGCGTCCGCAGCCGCGCCGCGCGCTCCGCGCTCCGCTCGCCGAACATCAGCGCCGCCGTAGTGCGCCAACCTGCGGGGACACGCGGCCGGCACCTGTTTCCCCAGCTGCGCACACCGTCCTGCCTGTGACGACCCTTTGGCGCAGCTGCAGGGCCCCTCCTGGGCTGTAGGGTGCCTCCCTCCATCGGGAAGGAAGACATGGGGCTCCGGTGTCCGTGCCCAGGGGTCATCCCTCTACTTGCAGTCCAGGACAAGTGAACCTGAGATGCGACAGGGATTTCCTCGGGGCTCAATCCGCAAGGACTGTCACTGTGGGCTCCCATCTCTGGAGGTCACCAAAGCCTTGGCCGCCCCCTCCCCTTCATTTTCCAGGCCCCGGCCCACACTCACGCCTGTGCGGGGGTCTTCGCAGAGGGGCTTCTTTTTGGCCCACCCAGATGGGGTGGGGCAGCCGTGGAGCAAGGACCCCATCCAGGGGCCCCAGTGCCAGGTGGCCAAACCGCTGCTCACAGGACTCTTGGGCCTGCCACCAGCTCAGCCGCCGCCCTGGGAACCTGCACACCGCGTCTGCAGTCTCCACCACCTCTCCCGGGGCCAGCGGAGCTGCAGGGCGAGAAGACAGACGGTGTGGGAGAGCAGTGTGGGGCATCTGACCCCTATGGGGGGCAGGACCAAGGACACTGGGCTCGGAGTCGTTCGAGGGTGGATGGGGCTGAACCTGGCCATGCTTTGTGACCTGGCGGGTCCCATCCCCTTGCTGAGTCTGTTCTGTCATCTGTGTGATGGCAGGAATGAGATGGACACGAGGGAAGCTTTCAGCCCAGAGCCTGATATAATGGTGTATATATAACCAAATTGCATCTCCTCCCTTCCTTTGCATTGGAAGCCGGAGATCACGTGGACCACGGGCTGGCCGAGCTGGGGGAGGGGGTGCCTCTCTGGGGGATCCCTCATACTAACCTGTGACCCAAGGGCTCCTTGATTCACCCGGGGAGTTGGCAGGGGTCCCAGAGAGACTCCCTATCTGAGAGAGAAGACAGGTGGGGGCTGGGTCAGGTCCCCACCCCCATGTGTGCATTTATTGAATGCCTACTGTGTGCTCCCGGGGATTGCAGTGGAAGCTGCAGGCTCTGCAGTCAGACCTGGGTTCGAGTCCCACCCAGAGTGTGATCCTGGTGGGCCACTTCACTCTCCTGAGCCTGTTTCCCCCGTGCGAGGAATAAGGAACCTGATGAGCGAATGTGAAAGGGACAGCGCCTAGTGGATGCCTTTATTCAATGTCTGTGCCAGGGGATAACCTTTGCAGTGACCTCATGATGTGAGGCGGCCACTTGGAACCCTAGCAGCTTTGAGTCTCTGTGGCCTCCTCCCCTGCACCCCCCACCTCCCCTCCCCCGCCGGAAGCTCAGGTACCAGGAGGTAGAGGAGGCAGTAGCACCAGGGGGCCATTATGGATCCAGCAGGGGCGGTGAGGACAGTAGGGGTCACAGGCGTGGCCAGTGTGGACTGAGGAAGGAGAAAAGCGAAGGGAAGCAGCTCAGTGTCCTGCCTTGCTACCCCTCTGTCTCCTGCGGGGTCATCTGCCTCCTTGTTTGGCTCCCAGACCCCACTGGGCTGGGAGCCAACCCAGTGAGCTGGGAGACCCACCCACCGGAGTGACATTCACTTGCACAAAGGGATGGTCTCCAGGAGCCCCTTCCAGGACCGCAGCTGGGGAACGCTGTAGCCTTGGTGAGCTGGGGAGTGGGGGGGCCGTAGTCCACTGCTGGGGTGGGTAGAAATGGAGTGCAGGGTCCCTACAGGGAAAAGGGGGAGCTCAGGGCCCTGTGGGCTTCCATGTGCTCTTTTGGGTTCACAGCTAAGCATTCAAGCTCTGCTTCCTCGGGCCTCTGCTGAGCTCTCCGGCCTCACGGGTCCCATGATTCCCCCAGGCAGCCCCCCTTTCTCCTGCTCCCCAAGCGGCTCCCATTCCCCAGGCAGCATCCTTTCTCCTAACCTTTGGCATGCTGTCCCTCCTGCCTGGACTGGCCTCCCCTCCCTCAGCGGCACCTCCTGCAAGATCAGCTGGTGATCACTCACCCTCCTAGCCAGGCGCTGTAGTAAGCTGAGGATACCCTAATCATGGGTGATCTGGGGGTCACTCTTGGCAGCCTGGGGGGCTTCAGGCCGGGAAGAGCCTCCCAGGTCTCTACTTCAGCCCCGGCCATGCACAAACTGGTTTCAGAAAACACTGGAGATGAAATAAGGCCCCACTGCGTCCTGCCCAGCCCGCCTTATGCCATCTGGAAGGCTGGAGCCATCACCAGTTATCAATATAACTCACATCCTTTTCCCCTCTCAGGTAAAAGTCTATAAGCACAAAAGTCAAACACGTCCCAGCATGGAAGGACACACTTTTTGGACTCTGAAAAGCACCAATTTATTGTCACTTTCCTCCTTTTAAACAGCACCTGCGTCCACCCACCCCCACGTCCACCCCCAAGTGGGTGGGGAATAGTAGGAGGGGTCCAGGGCTAAGGCCCCATGCCTAGCTGGTGCTCACTAAATGTCTGGGCTCACTAAATGCCTCCCTCCGCTGTTGGCCGGTATTTGCCCCCGCAAACTCCTTGGCGCCCACCTTCCTTCCTCATCGAACACTCTTTCGTACCCGAGAGAGATGCGAAGTTTGACCTCCACGGCGCGTCCTCGGGGCCAGTAGGGAATCCCTCCTAGGCTGAAGGGCCCGGGGCAAAGCCTCGCCCTTCACCCGCGCCGATCCCTCCCCTGTTCACAGCCCCGGTCCTCACCCGCCTCGCCTGGCCTGGCGCCTGTGGTCGGCTCACCCTCTGCGAGGTGTCTGCGGGGCCGAAGTCCAGCGCTGCATCTGCGCGTTCTCCACCGGGTAGAGGGCCCGCCGAGTGCGGGCGGGGACCTGGGGGCGGTGCTAGGAGACCCCGCCCCTTGGCCCCAGCCCATCAGAGTCGGGACCCCGCCCTCCTGCGCGCCCGGGACTGGGCAGGCTCCAGGCCAACTCCAGACGCGCGCGTTGGCGTGGACCGTCGGGGCACGAAATGGGGGGAGGCCCTCAGTCCCTGGGTGGGACCTGTTGTCAGTCTCTCCCCACAACACACAGGTAAGGTCGCTTGGTTAGAAGGAGCCGCCTGTGAGACTTGGATCCCAAATAAACTTGTGGGCTTCCCCGTCCCATCTCAGGCCGGGATGGTGGGAGAGGAGGGGGCACCCAGTACCTAGCCTACTACGTTCCCTGAGCTGGGCCCCTACAGGCCTCATCCCTTTACCTTCCACCCGCGGTGAGGAGGGGCCGTCATACCCATTTTCCAGATGAGGACTGAGGGCTTTCGCCCAAGTTAGACAGCTGGGGATTGGAGAGCCTGGCCTTGAACCTAGGTCCCTGGGTCCTCATCCAGGTCATTCAAAAGGTAATGGGGGGAGGGGAGAGAGGCCCTGTTGGGGGGGGCAATAGAGGGGTTTGGGCCTCTGAGGAGAGAGCCTGGGCCAGGTGGTGGTGCCAGGGGTGCGGAGGGAGGCTCCCCGGTGGGGGTGGGGTGCAGAGGTGGAGCTCCCGGCGTGGGGGGCGTGCACCTGGAACTGGAGGCAGCCGTCCTGTCTTAGTAGCAGGGATTCCTGCTTGGGAGGGAGGTCAGACATCCCAGTTCTTCTTGATTCTGACCTGAGGCACGTTGCCTGATTTCTCTGAGCCTCAGTTTCCCCATCTGCACAGTGGATGACACATTAGTACATAACACATGGGGCTGCTGTGCCAGTTAAATGACTGACTTAGTCTGTACAAAGCCCGTGGCACACAGTCCCTTTAGTCTTCTTGTCCAAACTGAACTTACACTTGTTAAAATAACCTGCCGGCCACACAATGGTCTGAAGTCTTTTTCCACTTTTTTTAATTGTGGTAAAATACCCGTAACATAAAATTTACCATCTTACAACGGCTTATTTTTAAAAGGAGGCGCCTGAGAGGAATCAAAATGTTCAGTGTGCTCATCTTCCAGCTTTTCTCTAGGTTTGAGAATTTTCAAAATAAAAATTGGGAGAGAAGAGGTCACCCCGGGGGGCAGAGCCCTGGGCGTCTCCTGGGGTCCTGGGCCGGCAGACTGTAAGCAGCACTTGGCCCTCCCGTGTCTGTGACCCGCCCACCCTGCACCCAGCCGAGTCCAGAGCCCGTGAGAGGGGCGGGAAGGATAAGCCGGAGGGGGAGCCCTCACTCTGCCCAATCCTGGGTGGGCCTTCCCACACTCGCACCATCTTGTTCAAGACAGGGGCCCCATTTTACAGCTGTGCCAACTGAGCCCCGAGAGAAGACAGGACTCACTCAGGGTCACCCAGCAAGGAAGAGGTGGACTCCAGGCCCGCAGGTGGGTGGGGTTTGTGTCTGCCTCAACTCTCCCAGCCTCCTTCTGGCCCTCCTTGCCTTCCTGTCCCATCCCAAATCTCTCCCCTGTCGCCCAAGTTACAATCTTCCCCTCCTTGGCAACGCCCCTGCCCCTGGGGTCCCCAGCCCAACTCCCTCCCTTCTGTGGGGTCACGTTTCCCAGGAGTCACTCCTGGAGATGGCCAAGCCCCGTGGGGGAGGGGCTCCACGGACCCCGAGCAGTCGGGGCGGTTTGGGCCATGGCCCGGTCTAATCTCTCCTCCGCAGAGCCTGGGTATTGTCCGACTGGCAGCCAAGGGCCATTCATCGGCTTTAGGGGCGGGCGGCTCTGACAGGCCCCTTGTCTCCGCAGACAAGGCCCGGAGGCTGTGGGTGAGTGATGGCCGTGGGGGCCCTGGGGCTCCGTGTCTGAGGAGACCTGATGGGGGTGGTGAGGGCAGCCAGGGTGCTCATCCCTGGGGCCTGGCCCTGCCTGACCCCTCAGCCAGACTGTCCATAGTCCAGGGCCAGGAAGTTTGGGAGGAGGAGCCGGCAGCTGGGATGTTCACTTTGAGGTTGCCACAAACCCCCCAGAATTGGGGCTTGGCCATCAACCACCTTTCATGTGATCTGGGCAAGTCTCTCTGTTCTGTGCCTTCTTGCACAGAATGCGGAGAATCACCCTCGCTACGTCAGGGACGTAGAGAGTGGCTGTGAGGAGATGGGTGAGCATTGGGGGCAGGGGAGCCCTACAACCTGGCCTTGTTGTCATTTTTCTCTGGAGGGGACTGGCTCCCGCTCTGTGGACCAATGGAGTCCCTTCCTGTCCCCCCAGCCCTACACACCCTGGGTCCTGAGAAACCAGGACAGGCCCAGAACCAGCCCTGTCTCCCCTCTTGCCTACTCCAACCCCTTCTCCATGGGGCAGTCAGAGTGATCTCTCTAAAATGTCCATCTGCTCCTGTCTATACTGCCCCCTCCAAACCCTTCTGTGGCTTCCTGGTGCTCCAGGAGCAAGTCTAACCTTCCACGCAGGGCTAACATGATCATCTTTGCCCTCTCTCCCCCCTCACTGTGCCTCTTCCCCCTCCCACTCCATAGCCCAGCCTGGAGTCAGAGGGAACATCTTTCTGTTCTCACCTCCGGGCCTTTGCACATGCTATTCTCTCTGCCTAGGAATAGGCAGGAGCACCCTTCCCCCCCATTAAACTGTTTCAGGAACCCCCAGATTCCTACAAATGCCAGGGAACTGTCTGCCTGTCCCCCCGTCCCCCCTTCCCCACCCCCAGGCCAGGGCTCGACAGAGTGAGCACTTGGTGTTTGTTGAAAGACTGAGGAATGATCCACAGACAGACCCCTGCGACTCTAAGGTTTGTGTGTGAGTGTGTGCTGGTGGGTTGGTGTGGCGGCAGTGGGAAGAGGACTCTGCTTGATGGACCCTCAGCCTGACACCTGCACCACTGACTGTGGCCACCAGAGGGCGAAACAGCCATTTAGTGCCAACAAGGGGCCCTCCTCTGCCAGAGAGGAAAGAGAGGCCCCTCCTGCCCCTTCCGGCGTGTCCCTGCCCATCACTGGGGCAGCTCCAGAAGCCAGAAGCAGCTGATGTAGTGGCCTTGAGCTGCCGGTCAGGACCCCGCCCCACCCCACCAGGCCCCTCTCTGCCACCAGCCAGCGAAGGGACCCGAATGACTCCACGTCTCTGCTCTGGGTCTTGGTTTCCTCTTCGTTGAAGTGGGGCTCCTCACCCCACTTTAGAGAGAACATTTGTGACACGCCTGGCTTGGGGCCTGGCATACAGCAGGTGCTCAATAAATACCTATTTGTTAGGAGGAAACCAAGAACCAGAGAGGGGACGGGACCTGTGGTCACACAGTGACCCCATGGCACAGCCTGAGTTTCTCCACTCCCCTCACACAGCCCACGCCACACCTCTCCTCTCCCCACGTATTCTTAATCTCTTTACTAGTCTATTTAATGATAAATTTAATAGTTATTAATAAATAATATTTATTAAGTATATAACTGCTATATTATATAAATGTATTTCTACACATATAATATATAATAATTATATTATATTACTAAATATTAATTTAATATCTTTAATATTTTATCTTCAAAATATTTTTGCCTCTCCCTAATATGACAGTGACTGCCAGTGGGTTGAGGGTTTCTTTTGGGGGTGGTGAAAATGTTCTAAAATTGATTGTAGCGATGGTTGCACGACTCTGTGAATGTACTAGAACAATCGAGTTGTACACTTTAGATGAGTGAGTTGTATGGTATGTGAATGACACCTCAATAAAAGCTGGTGCACCTCCATCCCCTGTCCAGTCTCAGTCACCCTCTACCAACTGGTCACCAGCGGTACCGCTCAAAAAGGCTAAAAGCCCAACACCAAGCCCATCACCGGCAAGGCATTCAGACCAAGAAGGAGGTGGAAAGAAGAAGAAGAAAAAAGAGGACAAGAAACACAAAAAACACAAGAAGGAAAAGGCTGTGGCTGCAGCTGCTGCAGCCGCTGTCACCCCTGCAGCCATTGCTGCCCCCACCACCACTTCAGCACAGGAAGAAACAGAGGCAGAGCCCGAGCCTCAGAAGGAGACTGAAAGTGAAGTCGAGGATAACCTTGATGACTTAGAAAAGCACCTGCGTGGAAAGGCCCTGAGATCAATGCGGAAGGCTCAAGTGTCCCCACAGTCTTAGGTGGAAATGTTTGTTATGATGTAAATTTTATTTGGTTTGTACGCAATTCAATTTCAAAATTGCTAAAATGTGTTTGAGCTTTAGACTATAACATTTGTTGTAATAATTGCTAGGTTGATGTTCACCATGTGCAAAAAGGGCATGGATTTACATTGCAAAAGATGTCCACAGTGTGTTAGTGACATTCTTTCATTGAGAGCTGACATAAATTCATTTAGAGTGAAATATTTTAAGCCAAAAAAAATCCCCCTTTTAAAAAAGGGGGTTTAAATATTGTTAGCATTCTTATGGTTCGTTTAAATGCCCCTGGCTATTCTGAGATTTTTCTTTCTTTTTTTTTTTCCCTTTTCTTTACTTTTTCTCATTTGAGTCTTAGCACCCATTTAAGTTATGATGCTTCCAACCTTGTATGGTTTGCAAACTTGCCCAAAAATAAGACCACTGTTGAACTACCACAAAAGTATAAATGAGTATTTTAATGCCACAATCTTGCCTGTTGCCTGTGGAGTCTCTGCTGAAATGAATCAGGATTTGAGCTCTAGAATGAGACAGAAAATGAAAGCATCTTGTTGCCAGGGCACTGTGGGTTTATACTGATGTGTAACAAGTCAATTTGGAACACTGGAATTTCATTCTATTCTGTTGTGTTTTTCTTTCTTTCTTTCTTTCTTTTTTTTTGTAAAGGCAATTAGCAGTCCCAGGAAGGATCCTTCAGTTATATAAAATTGTGTCGTGTGAAATGTCATGGCTCCACTCATAATTTTGTCTTGTTCTTCCGATTGGTGTATACAACTTGCAGAGCTCTTGTATTTGGAAGGCTGGAAGGGCTAAGACTTGGAAATAGTGTCTTGTTTTCACTGTTTTTCTTTCTTTTTTAACTAAGCTATATAAAGCTGTGGATTAAACAATAAATTTCTAAATTTAAAAATGAAAAAAAAATAAAAGCTGGTATTTTAAAAAGAGCAATACTGTGCAAGAAAAAGTGCTGGGCTTGGAGTCCGAGGCTTGGAGCCTCTTAGCAGCTGCATGAACTTCTTGAGCCCAGTTCCCTCAGCTGTGACTCGGGTCCTATTCCCCACCCTGCCTCCCTCCCGGGAGTCTGTAGGATCAAGTGAAAAAGTTGAATTGCAATAAGCCCAGAGTTGATACCAGTAACAGTACGGCCATTCCTGTAACAATGGGTCTGTTACTCCAGAAGATGGCTGGATAAAGAAATGCACAAATACTTCACCAAAG